TGTACCATATCAATGGGTTTTGGTAATATATTATAAAGGTTGAAGAGTTCCACAGTGTGGCTTTAATATATGTCACGATAGATAGGAAAACGCATGATTGCAACTCACATTTAATGCTGACTTTAAATTGTGTTTATTAGGTCCCAAGCCCTGAAAGGGTGAAGGCCCTATTGTTTTCGTTAGGATTATTAGGGCCAAGGCCCTAAAAGGGCACAGAGCCCTATTGTTTTCCTTAGGATTATTAGAAAAAAAAATTAGAGGAAACATTGGTGTTCGCGATCATAGGCCCTGTCCCAAATGGCACACTTCATATGAATTTCCAGCCTTGTGTACATATATAAGGCATCCGTTAAATCCATGCTGTCTGTAGGCCTATTATATTTATATAAGCAGTGATGAAGGGCCAAAGTTTAGGTAACTAAAGGAACCGGGGTTGCGGTGCCACCGGCTTGGGCCCGTAATCGCTGCTCGCAGCTATATTTGTGTTTGAACTTGCTTTGAGGATAGTTGGTATTACCATGAGCAACTTCTTTGCATTCTCTTAGGTGTTGTATGTCACAGTGTCGTATATTTGCTGAGAGTGTTGTATTACACATTTATTAAATGTTTAATTTAGGTTCCAATACAATTGTATATAAACTGAGAAAGTTATGTACTTTGTTTTTTACATTTTAAGGTTATGATGATGATAAAGATATCACCTGTTAAGCATGAGAGTCCTGCCAGTCCTGTTCTCTCTATTGTAAGTTAAATTGTATCAGATTACTGAGACTCTTTGTATTTAATCTTGCTCAGTCGTTGAATAGTTAGCTTGATTGGATTATCATCAAGATATGTGAATGAGACTGTTATGCTGATGAGATCAGGACTGGGGAAATGGGCTAACTCCTGTACTTCATTTACATGCCAGCTCCATGTAATTAATTGTTGTAATGTAATGAAATTTTAATGTACATAAACTAAAATGTAAGATTCCCTTAGACTAGGCTTGATGACTACAGCTACCTACTGCTCGTGTTCTCAATAAAGAATCCTGCTGAAGATACAACCATGTCTCCTGGCCTTCGCTTCTGTATTATTAACACTTTAGAAGAAAAAGTTCACAATAGTGACGAAAGGCTCTGCAAAAGGTCACACATTCAGAGAAATGAACTCTCTAAATTCTCATTTAGAATGCTTCAAATTCATTTGCATTAGAATGGAGTTAGAAGGACAAATGTGTGTGCATATGCATATGTTTGCAATTAGGCATTTTATGTTCCTTTTCTGAGTTCTCCTGTTTGTATTATTATTAGTGAATTAGACCCAGGGCTCTATCTTGCACCCGGTGTAAATGACTTTATACACAAACGCATGTGTCATTCCTATTTTGCACGTGTGCAAAGCGGGATTTTTCCCTCAAAAGACGCACATCAGTAAACTAGGAAATTAACTTGCGCTCCCTGGGAGGATTGGCGCAAAAAGGAGGCGTATTTCGGCGCAAACATTCCCTGGTGCTATTTTACAGTTCCAGAAAACAATTGCGCCACTGACCAGAAAAAAACTGGTTCTAAAGTCAGTGGCGCATTGCGCGTTGTTCATAATGCTATTTTAAGCGCGCATACTTGGCCATAATGTAGCGGGTGCACAACGCGCTTTGATTCTCTCATCAACACAGATGCAGCAGTTTTTATTTTTTCAAATTATACATTATAACAAAGAAAAATATTAACACATGAGGGAAATCAGTGGTTTACATGAAGATGAAAAAACCTTATTACCCATGTACTAGCCTGGTTCAACCAGACTCTAGTACATTTCATTTGCACATAGAGTCTGGCCCCTCTCCATTGAGAAACGTTTACTTCCTTGTAGGCGGGTTCACTATTAAAGTTCAAATCTATTGGATCTGCCCAGAGTCACTCACGATCTGCCATAGCCAATCGCTAACATGTGTTGGTGAGTGACGTATGTCACGCGCCGAAATGGCTGGAAACAACAAGTCCGAATGATCAGAGGATTATGTTTACAATAGGATTTCAGTCAACGAGAGCTGCAGGTTTTGTTAATCTAGGAACAATTATTAATTTGAAATGTATATTTGGTAAACTTTATTGGTAGGAGGAAAACCCCTTGAGATGTGGCATCTCGTTTTCGAGGGGGCCTCAAAAAAACAAAAAAACAAACAAACTTCATATACATACATACATACTAACAAAACAAAGACAAAAGACAAAAGCTCTCCATCACACCGAAACCACCCAAAACTTCCCCAGTCCAACCAATGTATATTAGGCAATAAGCAATAAAGGTCAATCGTATAGACAAATTTTTAGAAGGAAAAAAAAAAAATAAAAAAAAATAAATAAAAAATAAAAATACAATACTGTACACATACATACCAACATACATGTGTATACACACTTATACACATGCACACGCATACATATATTTATATATGCATACACACACGTACATACATCAAGCATGAGGAAAACAGTTGCACCTTGTATGCAAATAATTATTAAGAGACATCTTAAATTGGTGAAAAGAGGAGATCGATCTAAAAGACCTAGGTAAATCATTCCAGTCAGAAGGGGCTTTAAATTTAAAGGCTCTCCTCCCACTTTCTTTAGCTATATTTGGTACAGAAAAGAATAGATGATCAGTGTCTCTTAGACTGTAAGAAGTTTGATAAGGAATCAAGTATTGTTTCAGATAGGGTGGGTAGTTTGAAAAAATGCATTTATGAACAAACTGCAACCAATGATACTGTCGTCTAGCACTTAGTGTAAAAAAATTCAATGACTGATACATTTGACAATGATGAGTTCTAAATGGGCACCTCAAAACAAATCTACAAAGACTATTATAAATCACATTCAGAGGTTTAAGATTAGTAACGGCTGTGTTCTGATAAATAACATCCGCATAATCAATAATAGGTAATAATAGTTGGTTAATTATTTTTAATCTAATCTGCTTTGTAAAACAGTTAATTGAACGATATAACATTCTTAAGCTACAGTTGATGTTTTTTACAATAAAGTCGATATGAGGTCTGAAAGTAAGTCGGGAATCAAGCCAAAGCCCCAAATATTTAATCTTATCAACATTCATTAGAGGTGTACCATCCAGAAATTTAACCTGAAAAGAATTATTTTGCTTATGGAATGCCGACCTGGTTGCAAAAAGAATGTTATAAGTCTTCTTTTTATTCAATAAAAGCAGATTAGAAGAGAACCATGTTTGAATAAGATTTAAATCAAGTTGAAGTGAGGACTGAATCTTAGATATGTCGTTATTAGATGTATATATAACTGTGTCATCTGCATATAAGTGAATTTGACTGTCTAGGCATATTTGTGGGAGTTCATTTATAAAAATAGAAAATAAAAGGGGCCCAGGGAAGAACCTTGAGGGACACCTGTTTCCATTATTCTAGGCTGGGAGAGAGCAGTACTAAAAGACACACTTTGACGTCTGTAATGAAGATATGAATTAAACCAAAGAACTGCTGATTTAGAAAGACCAATAGCATATAGTTTGTCAAGAAGAATATAGTGATTGACCATGTCAAACGCCTTAGATAGGTCAATAAAGATCGCACCAGTAGACTTGTTAATATCATGAGCAGAAAAAATATCATTAGTAAACTTTGTAAGGGCTGTTGTTGTAGAGTGATTAGGTCTAAATCCAGACTGATTTGGAGTCAAGAGGGAGAAATCATTAATATATTTAGACAGTTGCCTAAAAATAAGTTTTTCAAATATCTTAGCTACATTACTAATTATGGAAATTGGCCTGTAATTGTTGACATCAAGTGAGTCACCACCTTTATGAAGTGGTATTACTTTCGCAAATTTCCACATGACTGGAATTACACAGGTTGAAAGTGATAAATTAAATAAATCGCAAAGAGGAAATGCTAGTATGTATAGTATGCTAGTATATTTGAAACGAAGGACAGTGATATATTCATTCAACAGTGGAAGCTGTGTCTAATCATTACAAATATGCCACTGTAGTCGTTTTCTGATCTGCCGCAAATGCTGTAGCTGCTACAGTGAATGATCAGTCTGTCTCTATCTGCAAAAAACAAAAAAAAAACTGCTGGGAAAGATCAGTTCTACAGCAAAATATAGATGGGCAAACAAGGTGGACGAGGAAGAAAAAAAAGGATAAAGAGAATGAAAGCTAAAGATATAAATAGATTTTGTTAGTTTTTTTTTTTGTAAGTTTGTGAGAGCTATTTTTTTGTTACATTTGGAGGCATTTCTTTTAGTTATTTATTATTTATTTTATTATTTATTTTTCTAATACAGAAGACAATATTTCTATCATCATTTCATTCATTTTTTTTATCTGTCATAATAAAACATTTAGACATGAATATGATCATCCTAGTATAGTATTCTATTATTATTTCTCTTTTACATTAAGCGCCATCTAATTTCAGGGAATCAATTTGCATGTTGACTCGGCTCATCGTCAGCGAAAAACGCTTGGGTGTGAACACAAAAAAACGCGTTGAAAAACGCTGACGAATAACGCGCGCTGACACTTTACACTTGCGTTTTAGATAGTTAAAATAGGGCCCCCAGTGTCTTTTCGAGTGCTTCAGTCCTTTGTCCTTGAAAGTGGCAGCAATGATTGATAATAAAAAGGTTTTTATTATTATTATTATTTTATAAGTTAAATTGGTAAAACAAATTGGAATGGATTTTTTTTTACACTATTCTTGACTTGAAATCTCCTAAATAGAGCATAACTGAAGCAATGGAACCATTCTCTGGGGTCTTGAGACAATCTTTGTTTAAAGCTGGCTGATTTATTATATTATTGTTTTGGAGTCAAAATACCACACCCCTATCAAACTATTTTATATACTGCTCTTAATATATGTAATTTGGAGAAAGATGAGGCCTTGTTTAATTTCTTTCATGTCATCTGTCTTGCATTAAAAACATTAACGATTCTGTTTGGCTCACACTTTCTCGTTTCTCACATTTTCTCTGCAGCCATTCCCACTGGTGTCGTCCTCCCGCTGGATGGTGAAGCGTGGTGAGCTAACGGCTTTCGTAGAGGAAAATGGGATCTTTTCCAAGAGGACATCTCGCCAGCAGGTCTATTTCTTCCTCTTCAATGATGTTCTCATTGTCACACGAAAGAAAAGGTGAGCTGGACACCACAAATTATATCTCTCAAACAGTGTCCAAATGTGCCTCTGTTTTTCCCCTGCTGTTATTGTGCCCGGCAGGATACTACAGAAAACAGGAAATGATTTGGCTAAAGTGAGAGGATATGAAGGTACAGCTTGTATGAATGGTTGGATCCTGTTGCAGAGATAGGACAAAGTTAGCTTTACCACTTATTCCATAACGAAATGACAGAACTCAAAAACTGTTGTTAGGATATAGCAATTGAGAGAGCAGAATTTTGTATTAAAGGGGTGTGAACTGAGAAATCAAATTTTCTGAGCTTTTGACATCTACAGTAAGAGGTCATCATATTATAAGAATATCCTGTAAGTTTCAGAGCTGAAAATGCCTTTTTTTAGTCAAATAAAAGCTTTTATTAACATCAGGCTCAGCAAACGACTCATTTTTCAAAGTGGGAAACTATGACAAAGAGGATAAAACACCACCCCTGTGGAAGAAGTTCAATGTCTATTCAAGATGACCAGTTAAGCCCCGCCCACTGATTCGTGCATTACACGCATAGCTAAATAACATAGGCCTATCTAGTGATGACAAACCGGATCGAGCTACCGAGCAATATACTTGCCGTTTACAAAATAGTGTGCAGTGCCTGGTTGTAGAAGAAGACAGTCGCTGCATATGCTTCCCCTGGAATCCAATAAGAATGCATGGTTAAACTTTATTTTTAAGCTGATGAGGGTAAAACATTGTCCGTTTGTACGCTTCATTTCACTGAGGATTGTTTTGTAAACAAGACAGGTCGAGACAGGATTTGCAGACCGATTAAGATTAAAAAACGGTGCCGTGCCTTTTATATTTGATCCGAATGGTGCAACACACGGATTCTGGCTCAAACATGTATGGGCGAATCATTCCGGTTGCCATTTTACAACATTGGACGTGTTCAAAACAATTTCCCCCAAGTGTACTGACGAGTGAGTTGAAACTCATTGGAATGTGCAAAACTGTTATCCACTCACAGCAGTGGTCGTTTACTTCCAAGTCTTGATGCAAGATGCCCATAGAAATCGAGCGTTTTTGTGCTAGGCTCAAAACTAGGGTAGAAAATAGCCTATTACTTATTTATTTTGATGTTTTTGAATGTAAAAACCAAGCGAAGTTGACCTCAGACAACAATGTATATATATTTTTTAAAAAGCCAGTTCATGACCCCTTTAAAATAAACAGGAAAATTGTCACTCAACGTCATCTTTTCATCATCTTTTATGTGTATTATACAACAATGTGGAGTGTGATTTTCGAGTTGGCCAGTGCTCAACATCAATATTAGAATATTATTATACATACAATTTTGCTGTCCTATCAGGTTAATAAGTCTAATAAAAATAAGACTAAACCCTTGAGTCTTAATTTCATTTCATTGAAGTAAGACCTTGTGAGCACTGCAGATGATACGTGCAATTCACCGTGCTCCAGATTTTGCTTGTTGCTTGTCTCGGGTTTTTTTTTTTGTTTTTTTTTTGTGTGTGTGTGTGTGTGTGTGTGTGTGTGTGCATTCCAGAATGTGTTATGACGTTTCCTTTGATTCTGATTCTAGTTTAAATACATTTATTCTGCCACTGTGGCTCATTTTCAAACTTTTTGGTAATTGTCCTAGACAAACATTGTGTGTTGTTCTGTAGCTCGCACAAAGCAACTAAAATAGAAACATTAACAAACATTATCTTCATCATGTAACACTGTTGACGGCGGTGTCCAGTAGGACAAGAACTCATATTAGCATGATAAGATGATAACTTATTGCTTGAATGATTTTGAGCCTGGTTAGGACACTCTGTTTTGTGGTCAGTTTTTCTTCTAAAATTGTTTAGCTTGAAATGACACATTTAGAACATTTCACCTTTGAGGCTTGCAAAATAAACATTTGTTTTGTAGCAATGCATTGATTCAAAATAGTGTGTTTGTGTCACATGTCTTACTTGCACAGTGCCAGTTTGTCAGCGTGTTATGCAGTTAGCAACATTTTTTTTTTTTTTTTTTTTTGTCAAATTTGGGAACGTTCTGCACACTATGACAAGGGGACATCCTCCAGGAAAATAAGATGGTGTTCATTTCCACCAGCGAGTACGGCCCCCAAAATCTGTGTCTGGAATTCAACTGAAAATTGAATAAAAAGAAAAAAGAAGTTTTTTTTTTTCTTTTTTTTTCAATCGTTGTGTGATGTTTATTCTGGTACACGGTCTGTACAATATGTGAGGGGAGCCTGAGTCACACTACTTGCTCAAATCTGAAGCAAAACAAACCCCACCATGCCATCACACTCTCTCCACTTCATCCCTCTTTCCATTCCCTCTCTCTCTTTCTCTCTGTTCAACTGTTTTCACTCATTTTCTCTGGTTATGTAACTAACAATTAATTCAGCTGGTTATTTGTCTGTTATCTCTTTTCTTCCTTTATGAATCTATTTCTCACGCACACATACAGTATATGGGCTGAAGTGTTTGTTTCATGTTGCATATCCTTTTTTGCATAATAATAATGTTTTTTAGTTTTATAGACAATAGAAAAGGACACCATGTTCAGTACACTGTTGTTAGGCATGTTTTTCAAAGTGTGAGTGTACAAGAAGTTTAACAAAAAGGTTCAGTATTGTACGGCAACATCTCTCAAATTTGTAATTAATGTATTTACCAGTATTACCGGTAAAAGTATTTTAGATAATAATAGATATTACCATATCTCTTCATACCAGCACAGAGGCCTGTGTTTATGTTTAAATGAAAGTGTGTGAATGTTTTGTCCTGGAGCTGGAACGTCCCTTGGCTGCTGGAGAGGATGTCATTACAGCAGTGTAGGAACATCAGATTGCCAACTGATAGAAATTCCCTGCTGGATGCTGTAATATGCAATTATAATACGATATGTCAGGAGCAGACGATAGTTTGTCCAGCACTCAGTTTGCTAATGGGAAAGCTGGTTAAAAGTTGGCTAGTGCCAGTCCAGGTGCCCCTTGTTGCCAGAACTGAGAGAGGTAGATGTTGTTGATGTCTCTGACAGATGGGACATCTCTCCTAATTGTGGGCGATATGATCAAAATCGTATTTAACTATAACAAATACAGTAAATACAAATGACAAAAACAGTGCTTTAATGTCTTAAAGGACAGTTGGTCTATTTAAAGGAACACGCCGACTTTTTTAGCTTATTCACCGAATCCCCCAGGGTTATTTAAGTCCATACAAGGATGTAAATGTTTAATCGATTATTGATTAATTGTTGACAAGAATTTACTCGATTAAATGAAGTTAATTCACTTCTAATTGAACAATGTGAACATGACATGAGATTCTCACTCGAGAGACCCGACACAAACTTGAGGCAGCATAAAAGAACAGCAGGCGGTCAAAACAGTGTGGACTACCAGCATGCTAACCTCGAAAATACTGCTGTATTCTAACAATAACTTAGCTCTCCTTATTAGCTAGGCTAATAACTATTTTTAAAGCTGGGTCTCCAACATTAACAGCAATGTGTTGGACAGATTTGTGCAGCGGTGTTCAACGAGGGGGAGAGAGACCGAGAGGTACGGGTGAGTCAGTGAGAGCGCGAGAGGTAGTGCTGCAATCTGCAATCAAATACGATTTTAAATAGGCTTAGTTAAAAAAAAGAAAAATCAATATGTGGCGATCAGTCACAAATAACGTATGGGAAACTCTTCCCTCTAATTTTACTGTCACCTTCCTAGGGTATGATTTAAGTTGTGTTCAGTACTATATTTGATGTTTCCAGGTCACCTTTCTCAGACCAAGGGGGATTATTAGTGCTGCAGCTAATGTTTCAAGTTTTTCATTCAAGTAGTTTAGATTATTATATGTAGGCTTAATATAGTGTAGGCTAAGCCTTCCCATATAGATTTTTATTTAAAATGTATTTTATGTTGCTTAATGTTTCACATGCATCAGGCGAGCTAGTGCACAATTATTTTTTTATCTATTTTAATTTAACCACATAAATGCCATTATCTGTACCGTATCCCAACTGTTACAATAAAACATCAATTGAGCAATATAACATGCATTTTTATTCAGTATATAAGCAATATTTTGCTTTTTATGTTAAAGACACTATTGATACTGTGAGAAATTTACATTCTCATGAAAATAGCCGCTTATCAGTTAATCATGAATCGTGCGATCGTTAAGGTCGATCAACTTACGATTAATGAATTAATCAATAATTTGCATCCCTAGTCCATACATACCCATTTCATCTCCGTGTGTAATGTAACTCTGTCTGACCCACCCACCTCTAGCCTAGCTTAGCACAAAGACTGGAAGTAAATGGCTCCAGCTAGCATACTGCTCCCAATAAGTGAGAAAATAAAGGCAACATTTTCCTATTTATATGTTGTGAATTGTAAAGTCACAGCTTGTACAAATTTTAACCATATAGATGGTAAGCCATCTTTTAACCATACACTGGGAACTATATTCTCAGAAGGCAAAGCACTGCTACTTGGGGGAAGTGATTAGCGCAACACGTGAAAAGCACAATGGGGCTCTCAGATGCTGCGAGAAAATCACTCACGAAGATGAAACACACGTACCACTAATGGAGATGAAAAGGATATGTATGACTTATCTAACTCTGGGGTACGGTGAATAAGCTAAAGACCCAAAAAGTCGTTGTGTTTCTGTAACAGTAGATTTAAGGTAAGAAATACTACATTTAGTGAATAATGTAGAATAATGTAGTCTTCACTGAAATTATTAAATATATACCGATTCTTATTCAGTCAATACCAGTGAGTGATTTATTTGTATTTATTTATTTATTTTTATTGGATTAACATTAAGAATATAGACAGGAGTAAGCTATCAAACTGTTTACTTTCACTTAGAAGTTGACCATGTTTAAGTGGATACTTGCCAAGATGGGTGTTGCATGTATTTGTGATTTTAATTTGTCTGTTATGTGTTTGTCCTCTAGGGGGCGAGTGTTCTTGTGTTTCTTTATTAGGGACTGATCGCCGGCACCTGTGGTTTTTGTGGATGTTTGGCATATAAAGTCCAAGCGGCCAAATCTGAGGGGGGCGAGATTCTCAGGCGGCTTTCTGTGCTCCTTCGTTGTGTTTCATTTTTGTTCATTATCTTGGTTATAGTGTCGATGTCGTATTTTTTGTAATAAATTCCCTTTTGAGTTGAGTTGCGATGACTTCATTGTGTTACGTGCTGCAGTCGTAACAATGGGCATTTTAACAGTATTCTGTGTACCTGGTTGTTCAAGCACAATAAGCCAAGAAAGAGAACTGAATTCAGGATTGCATGTTTTCCGAGAGAGGCAACTTTCTGAATGCATGCTTAAGGTGTGTGTCAGTCAGAAAGAGTCAGAAAACATCTTAAATTCAAAAGACTATATCTTAAAAGTGAAACAAGATAGATACTTTTTGTAAATTGGAGATATTAAGGATGATGTAAAGTTTATGTAGATATTAAATTTCAATCTAATTTGCATATTATGACGTCATATGGTGGCAACAATCTTGGATTATAGAATTTTCTTGAATAGTCACATGTTTAAATGATAAAATGCAGCACTTCTTTCCCACCAAAATGTCCATCGCCTTCTGTATGCTATATTGCACAATACTGAATGCTCAGTCAGGTATATAGTAAGTAGTAAACAAACTGTAAATCATTACTAATACATGGTAGAACAAACCGTATGCATGTAGTGGTTGGCGTTTTGCTGTAGAGATTTTCCATTTACTACATACAGTAGGCACTTTGATTCCATGTATGGGGCATATTTTATTCATATGACACACAAACACAAGTAGACAAGACCTGTTTAGTTCAAAAGATCATTTGTTACGGAAAAGCACAGATCATAAGCGCGAGCATGCCTAGATCTGCCTCGCGCGCGCTGAGTGTGCACTCTATTGCGACTCCCCACCCTGCCTTCACGTTACCCCCATCTGTACTATGAATACTTCGACCTCGTCTAACATACCCAGTGATAATATACAAAGTCTCCAACACAATACTGTCGCCGCGATCGCAGAGAGGCTCTGATAAAATTGCTCACTCTCACACTAGCTCCGCTTTTGATCGCACTAGTTCAATGCGCTGTAACTCGAACATTTTGTATAGAAACATGACAGTTTTTTGAGTCGGGGATGAAGTATGACCATAGACTGTAAAAAAATATGGACAAAGCGTCTGTGACGTCACCCATAGACTCTCTGAAGAACGGGTTTGAGGCTGTTTATGGGGGGTATGGGCGGCGCCATACTGGAAAATCTTGGGAAATACAAAATACAAATGTTCTGAAAGGATACAGAGGTGGTATGATGTGTTGTGTCAGATCATGGCTGAGACGTCAAGCCCGTTATTAGCTGTCAATCAAAGTTAATCGCCCTTATTTGTCATACATTTTATATCTACTGTAAATATGATCTAAACTAACGAGTTGGAAAAAAATTCACCCCCCTCACAGTTGTCAGGCACTCGGAACCTATCGAAAAATACATTAAAAGTCCATGGGACCAAACTGTAAACATATGAACTTATGCTGTGAAAGCGGATATTTTAAAGGAATACTCCACTTTTTTTGGAAACAGGCTCATTTTATAAACTCACCCAGAGTTAAACTGTCGAGTTTTACCGTTTTTGAATCCATTCAGCCAATTTTTTGATATTTAGAAGAATATCAGTAACCCAACAGTTTCTGGTCTCATTGACTTCCATAGTAGGAAAAAAATATATACTATGGAAGTCAATGGGACCAGAAACTGTCTGGCTACTGATATTCTTCTAAATTCTAATCTGAGAGTAAGCTAAGCTATCAGTACAACAAATACTAAAGTGTACTGTACTTATACTTCTTACATTTTTTATTATTATTATTATTATTATTATGCACGCAGATAGCTTACTTGGTATAGAGTTCTAAATTCCTGCCCAAAATATGTTTTTTGTTTCTTTTGATTTTGGGGTGAAATTTGACTGGGACTTGTCTTAACATTTCATGAGATTCACCCGTCAAGGTCTACATTACGCCTCCGGCTCTTTATCACTCCTCCAGTCTACCCCCTTTTCTGTACTGCAGATTGCATTCTGATTTTGATTGATGTTTTGGAGCAATGTTTGATGGATAGCTGATGACCTGCACTTTAAACCCACAGCTTCTCCCTGAAGTCATGTACATATAACGGTAGGCCAGTGGTCCCTGGTAAAAAGAGACAGCACTGCTGCACATGTGTGTAATGTTATTGGCGTACATTTAGTGTACAGCGAGGGGCCATTTGACCTGCCCAAACCTTCCAATTACTTCCAGATGGCAGGAAAGTGAAACTAAAGCTAGACGTACAGTCACAAGACTAAATTTGTGAACCCTTTGAAAATGTCTTGATTTCTGCATTGATTACTCATAAAATGTGGTCCAAAATATTAGCAAGGCAGACTGGACAAATGAAGTAAACCTCTGTGTTAAGACTTATCCAGAAGCTAAATGAAGTCAATTAAGAAGCTGAGATTGTAAGTGTGGGTTTCACAGAAGGCCTGTCTGTTAAATAAATGCACACACTGGCGCAGGGATTGCAAATCTATTCTCCCTTTGCCCACTATCAGAAAAACACAACACATAGGAAACCACTGTGGACAAAGGAAAAATATTGATGTGTCTCATAGTGGCCCAAGGACACATGTGAATCACTGAAGGAACAATGAATTCAAGAGACTATCAAGACATTTTTGCATGAGAATGTCTGGATAGATGTTCAGACTTCAAGCTTAACCCTCTGATTATCTTCATTTGTGTCTACACTCATTATCTTTGGGGTCTCCAGGGACCCCAGACAATAACATTTAATTTTGTACCAGAATAATATATATATATATATATATATATATATATATTTACAAATGTAGTTTTAGTCTGTTTATTAATGTTTTTACTCAACATTTGTGCAGTTTTTGGAGGATTTTTGATATCTTTTAAAGTTCTATAAATAAATAAATATTTAAATAGGCTTTTTATTTTTATTTTTTTTACAAAAATACAGCATTTTATGTCATATTTACTTTATATAAAAAAAAATTCTAACTTTCATTTATGGGGATAACATGGATCATTTTAAATGATTTAATGTAACATTTTTGGAAAAATTTAGTTTTAAAATAAAATAAAAACACTCACTTTAACCACTAGATCGCCATAGACCTCCACCATAAGCTATTTGTAATGTGATTGACCAAACTAGGCATCTTTTCACAAGTTTTTCCAGTTCGATTCGTATATAAATATTATAGTCACAATTATAACACAAAAAAAGAACTTTTTGTCAAAGTTTAGCATTTTTTGTACTGACAAAAGTTTTTCAATAATGTTACATTATTGATGTGTAACAACAATAATGTTACATTATCAATGTTACATAATGTTACTTAGAATCAAACCTGACCCAAATGTTGGAGTCTTTAGATTTTATAATTTATTTTAATCATCTGTTTTTAATATAATTCTACAATTTTAATTGTACAATTTTACTAACTGTAACAGAACAAAAAATTACAGAAATTAACAGTTATATTACACAGTGAGTAAAAATACATGACATGAACTTCAAAATGAACTGAATAGCAATAACAAATGCGCAAATGAAGCAGTAAAAAATAAAAATTAGTTAAAAAAACAGTGAATGGGGAAAAAATCAAACAGCTAGGAACAATAATTGGTGGTCATCTCATACAGTCTTATGTATTACTGTGTGTGTGTGTGTGTGTGTGCAATGTTTTTTTTTTTTTTTTGCTTTTTTTTTTTTTTGCTTTGTTGGAAGTGTGCCACTTTATTTCTGTCTATGTGATCTGCGTTGTTTCTTCGTTGTTTCTGATTTTGATGATGAATTTTGTATATTCACTATGCGGGGTCTCCAGGGACCCTGAAGATAACAAGTGTCGGCATTTTCCAATATATATACATATATATATATATTGGTAGATCTAGACAGTGTTAAGAGGCGTAGAAGTTTTCACACCATTTGGACAAAGTTTTAATTTTTTTAAACAACATTTTTTTTGTCATTTGCGGGTCAAAAAGACCCGAATTTTCCCAGAGGGTTAAAAGAGGTTGGGTGATTCAACAAAAGAAGTGTCCTGACCTGAAGCCAATTTATATTCTGTGACATAACCTAAAGAGTGTTGTGCAAACAAGACAACCCATAAATATAGATAAAAAAACAGATTTGAGCTGAGGGATGGTCTAAAATTGGTCAAAAGTCTTATAAGCAGCTACAGTAAACATCTTGTGGAAGTTTTGCGTCTAAAGAAAGATCTACAAGTACTTTCTCCTCCCTGCACTGTGTATGATTACTTAATGTATTCAATACAATTGTGAAAAATACAATTGTTTGTGTGTGATGGACTTGGTGGTGTTCCACTGAAAATGTATATTTGATACCCAAGTGATTTAACCTTAAATACTTATTTAATATTAATCTCCGACCCTCTCTTTTTCTCTTCCCTCAGTGAGGAGAGCTATACAGTTATAGACTACGCACTGAGGGATCAGATCTGGGTGGGGTCTTGTCAGGCAGAAGACCTGAATCTCTCTCCAGTACGTGGTACTGCAGGAATGCTGACGTCACGACAGAACGTGGCCAGCCACCTGTTCCAGATCAGTTTCCGCAGCAACTACTCTGGAGACAATGTGACCATGATCTTAGGGTTGGAGCTACTGTAAGTATTTGCATAATAATTCATTCAATTCAGTCTGCTCTATTTGCCTGTCTTCATAATTAGTTCCCTTGCTTACTCATTGACTCTATTTTGTTACTATAGTTAATCATTGATAAGATTCTGCCCAGACAGCAAACTGACATTGAATCAACGTGGAAACGACGTCTCTCATGACATTGAAACAACGTTGATTTGCTCATCGAATTAACGTTGAACCAACGTCAGACGCGGCATTCTTCAAAGCTAAATGAAATCGAAAATTGGTTTGCTTTCATAACGTTGAAACAACGCGTTGATTTCAAGTTGATTTTCCGTTAGTTTTGAAAGAATGACGCATTTGACGTTGGTTCAACGTTAATTCGATGTGCAAAACAATGTCAGATCAACGTTGTTTCGATGTCATATTTCCACGTTGATTCAATGTCAGTTTGCTATCTGGGTGTTCACCTGTGTTCATCTAGTTCCCTTTGTTTGTTCCTTATATTTATATCCCTTTCAATTTCGGTTTACTGCAAAATAAGAGAGCACAACACTGTATGACGTGTGAAAAACTCCCATAGCCCTCCGGAGTTTAGCTTCAGCTTCAACTCTAATTAAACACACCTGATCCAGCTCATCAAGTCCTTCAGGCTTATTTGTAACTACAGGTATGTGTGTTGGAACAGGTTTGGAACTAAATTCCTGGAGGGTCACAGCCTTGCAGAGTTGAGTTTTTTTTTCCTCCTGCTGTATGATTTCTAGAGCTGATAATGGGCAATTTGTTCAGCAGAGCTTTGTTATAACTGCATCATCCATGACTTCTAAAAATAACAATGCAATTCATATTCAACTCAGCTTCAGATTGCTACATTCGTTGTTTTATCTAAGGGGGCTTTCACACTGGCAGTTTAGTTCGAAACGGGGCACGGTTCGCATGAAAAATTTGCGATTTTTTTTGTGAACGCTGTCATGGGACCCGGGTGCGCACTGGGGTACGAACCCGAGACTACCTGGAAGAGGTGATCTGAGTTCGGTTGCTTCCGAACCGTGAAGCGGTTGGCATGAATGTGAAAGCAACACGGATTCGGGCGCGCACTTGTTCAGGAAGTAAAGTATCTTGCGCATGCATTTTAGCTTATTGGGATATATTCAGTTAAATAAAACACTTGTGAGGGATGATAGTGTTGATGATTTACCTTGGATATTGCACGTGGAATCAGAGCAACACATTTGGAAATCCACTGTCTCCTTAAAAGAGTCCGTTTGCAAGCAGCAGAAGTCCACCTTATGTGACACATTCACAGTAAACCTGTATTTTTCACTCAACTGCGCATAAAAGCAGCAAATTAATAAAAAAAAAACCCACCATATTTACCGTTCTGCTTTCTATCATGCGCCGTGCACGTTTGTGATGGCGTAAGATGCACGCAAAGCACCAGGGTTCGATAGAATCAAGTTGAGTGTGAAACCAGATCAACGCTGCGGGGGGCGCCGGGAACAATCACACTCGGGCTCGGACTGCAGCAAACCAGCCCAGTGTAAAAGCCCCCAAAGTCAAGGGTCACATAGGGGCTGTTTACACCTGGGGTCTCATTTATAAAGCGTGCGTACGCACAAAACGGGGCTGGAAACGTACGTACGGCAGTTTCCACGCAAAGTTTGTGATCTATAAAAAACTAACTTGACGGGAGAATGTGCGCACCACTAAGCAAACTTTGAGCCGTGCGTACGCACATTCTGGAGACAAAGGGAATTGGAGACACTGATGGTGAGCTGTAGTTAAAGGTGCAATACCTAAGATTTAGATGCCGCTAGAGGGCGCTACATTCAAAACAACAACAATGGCTTTGCTTGATGACGACGTGGAGGAACGCGGAATGATGGGAACTGTTGTTTTCAACTCCACCGTGGATAAATCAGTCAGATGGGAATCGAAAATTAGTTGTCATGGATAAGGTAAAGTTCGATTTCTATAAACGTTGCGTTTAATGTCATGCTTGTTTTTCATTAAACTGAAATAACCGTGCAAGAAAAGTCAGGTTTAAAAGTGAATTAGTTATCACAGATGATACTGTACGAGTCACTGGACGAAGCTATGGTGGAGAGGATTTGACGTGGCTGGTCCTCCTTGGTAACTTTATAAAAATAAAAAATCTATTTAATGTACATTTAACACATCTTTTCATGTCGTGTAAGTATTCAACCACAGCTACAGTTTCACAGAATTAACGTTAAGGGGGTCGCACACCGGACGAGAAGCTGCAGTGCCGCGTCGCACCACATAATTATTCAAACACATTATTATCTATAAGTGTACACATACCGGCGGCGCCATTCGGCGTCTGTCCGCGGCGCCCAGCAACGCCTCAATCAGGACCATATTCAAAATCCTGCTGCGCCACAGAGCGCCATTTACATAGTTTTATATAAAATTTTAATTATTTTTGTCTCAAACTGTTGCTAATGAATCCTGACTTTGCCCTATGCTGCAATATGCATTTAGTTTTGCAGTGATTTACAGAAATTAGCTGCTTGAATGACAATTGCTGATGTTATTATTAGATTTTTCAGGTGAGATTCTCAATTCATTCAGTGAACGGATGATCTGAGGTAAAGTTTTCAGAATGCAGACTCAGCAACGATTGTATTTAATTGTACAGTACAATCATAACATAGAACAGACATTATCTTCATTTTCTGTCATTAAACATAACAATATTCCTGGCCATACACTGATGAGAAAGTGCGCGTCCGGTGTGCGATGCTGTGGAGTTGTCCTAAACGTGGCGCGGCGCTTCTCATCCGGTGTGCGACCCCCTTTACAGCCAACAGTTCACATTCCGAGAATAAATGAAAAGAACAATTGTGCTCCATTCCATAACAAATGCGTGAAACAAGCTGTCGTTTGTTAGACGCGAAACAAGCTGTCGTTTGAAAGACGCTAACGCACAACTACCGCATTTGTCCAGGACTACACGTAGTACGAGCGGAAACCGAGGTAAGCGGATATGACGCGATTGACTCGCGACTCCCAGCTCACCCCTGCTCACACGTCCCGTTTCCTTGGTTAAAATCTCAATTTTCTCGCGATTTAAATATTGTTTGAAACATATGGAATATTGTGAGTTATCATCTTAACTAAATGTATAACACTGGCCTTGTGATTTTGGGATATTTTAATGCAAAAATCTTAGGTATTTCACCTTTAAATGTCTTTTTGGTCACTTTTAGAATGAAAATCTAAAGAAAATTATAGTCTATAGGATACAGAAAGATAATAGCCTATGAATAAAATTTCACTCACCAAGCCAATCACTTGAAGCCAATATCCATCCCTTCGTGTCCGCGCCAGCATGCACGTTGGGCCGTTTAGTGAAACTGACGCACATCTAACGGCAGATGAACCTTAAATCTTCATGAGTAGGCTAATAAATAAAGTGCACGTTCTCAATAACAGTTTAAAAAAATGAAATAATGATTTAAACTGTTTTACTTCTGATAAACATTTAGATTAAATATGCCATTCTCGTTAATGGAGTTAAACACTTAAACTACATGAAATCATTACTGAGAAGTTACAAAAAATATATATTCAATAAATAGAAATATAGGCTATATTTGTTGTGGATGCAATGCTTTTTGAACATTTTCCCTCTGGCATGCAGTGTTTTATGATAATAGCAGATTGTCTGAGAAAATAGTTCCATAATCCACAACCATGTCTATCTGTTTCCATTAAAAATAAAAATTCATTAAAAATACTATTTGGCCAGTTGAAAATATTGAGAAAATCTTTCTCTGAAATGTATTTGACACTATTTGATTTATTCATTCAAAAACAAGGCACGGATATAGGCTACTAAAAAAAAATAATAATTTATTGTGACACGGCACATCTGTATTTCATATTTTCCTAACGTCTTGTACGTTAACATGGTCTCACGTGGATGAATAATCACATGCAAATGATATGCAGATGAGGATCTGCATATTTAAACTAGGCATTGTAAGCTCCATATGTGGTTATTTCGGGGAGGAGACGCATGTGCGCGCATTCTTCCGCTGACTGGGATTTATAAAGGGAATTCTGCGCAGGTTCTGGCGTACGCACGGTTTTATAAATCTGAATATTTTTTGGCATACGCCATTTTTGGCTTTCAGGCGCACGTACACTTTTAGTAAGGATCCTACGCACAGTTTTATAAATGAGACCCCTGGTCACCAACTGGCAGCAGGAAGTGTGTCACTTTCAAAATGCTTTGAAATCATCCTTTTATTTTTACTCGATTTGCTTCAAACTTCATCTGTATAATGTAAATACCCGGCAGATGTAGACCTGTGAATGGATGCTTGATATCTTTGATACTGTTGCCGTGGCAACGCATCAAACTTCACCATTCTTTTAGAATCTCTTCGGGTCATAGTTTAAACTCAAAATGCATGCGTTTTCTGTGATCGGATAGATATCCGATCGTCAAAAGACCAGGTGTAAATGCCCTCCGAAACGCATTCGAGACGGATTTGAATCCGATCGCTCAAACCACTTCAGGAGGTGGTCTGGGTTGCATTCCAGACGAAACTGGATAAGTGTAAATGCATCTGGTTGTTGAAACCACATATGCAAATTTTACAGCTGTGTGTTTCACCACCCCATCAGTCATCACACTGCAGGACCACATGTACCAGCAGCACAAGATTTATCAGAAAAGAATCAGGCATTCATCCAGTAAACTAAACAAAAATAAGCTGAGATGTTGCGATGTTGATTGGATTTCCTGATCTACCTCACCCTTTCACTTGTAATAGTTGTTGATGGTTTTGAATTTTGTTTGAAACTAGCGTAGGTGATATACTTAGTGCCAAGAACTACTCATTAAAAAAAGCTAATCATGTCAAGCAGAGCACATACAAACTTTATTTAAGTTTAACACATAAATCATTACTTATTTGGTGAAGAGAAAGACTCCAGCAGAGTTTTTGTTCTTGTTTTGAGGACTAAGGTCAGGGAAGGGTAGGGGGGA